TGTGCTGCCCTTTCTGTGTTAATCTGTAGGCTTTGCCTAGCGGAGGAGCACGCCGTGTTTGCAGAGGCACTTTTGGGGAATTAGAGGTAACGCTGACGGTGCTCTGAATTTTCATCACTTCTGGGACAGAGGCACACATGCTGTGCCCATGAGAGCAAACATGGTGATCTGTATTGCAGCGTGGTATGGATGACAGCCAGTCGTTCAGGTTTCACTAAGCCTAGTATTTCAGAGGAGCTGTAGATTTCTCCTAATTTCTGTCATACAACTGCCTCCTCGGAGCATTTCTGCCAGAGAGGGCCATTTTGGCTACCGAGCTTTAGAAGCTTTTAAAATGTAAATACGCCACGAACCTGTTTCCATTATTTCAAATGCCAGATATAAGGAGCTAAAAAAATTTCTCTCGCCTTAGGAATTAAAACGTAAGCAAATAATGAGGATTTGGCTGGTCCACCGAAAATTCTTACAGGGAGAAAATCATTAATTTTTCAGCCAGAAGCGTTCTATCTATGTGTGCTCAAATTTATTGTTGTCATGGTGACTAATGCATGTTACCGTAACTAGGCATGAGGCTTTAACAGGTGAAAAGTTGTAACACATGGTCCTTGTTAAAAATTACTACATTTAAGCCACTCAAAACCAGTCCCTTCCTCCCCCCTCCCCCCCCATAGCATGAAGGGTTTTTAGCCTGACATTTTTATAAAAAGATGAGGCAGGTGTTAGATTTTATAGAAGTTGTATTGAGATTACTTCTTACCTGTGACTGCCTCTGCATCCAGGTGCCTTTAATGTGAGTCAGATACAGTTCTCAGAGAATGGGATGAGATAGAAAAATGTGCAATGATTGTAAAAAAATACCTAATAGCGGTAATCTGCTTCTGTAGCTCATTTGACATCAAGCATCTGACCCTTTCTAGAGCACTGAGAAGTACACATCTGCCCATTTTCAGGGTTATGAAGCGCTGCAAGAGCATGAGATACTGGTCTTTAAGGCTGTGATCTTTATGGTTAAAAATTGTCACTGTAAAAGGATTGAATCTTTACCACTCTGGCACCTGACTTGAGATGGTTTTGTGGTTGTAAATTCTTTATCTGCAAAATGTGGAGCAAAAAAATCTTCTTTCTCAAGGTGACTGAGGCCAGAGAGAGGAAAGGCATTGGTTAAAGGCATGGGGAGGTTAGAATACTAAAACACAGGCAGTACAGCGAAAACCATGTGATAAATTGCACAGCTGTCTGATGAGCTGTAAAGTTAGATGAGGAATAAATTATCTCTTCCCTTTCTACTTCATCAGAGAGATAAAAATCTCCATACGTATATTGTGTCATAAAAAATACATAAGCTTAAATGTTTGATTATTTCTTATAATTGCAAATTAAATATTCAAACCAGAAAATCCTTATCCTATCATATCTATTTTAAAAATGAAATCAAACATCATAGTTGGTCCTTCACGGCAATTTGCGAACATTTCTATACTACTTGAAAGTGGTTTAGGTGCTTATGAAGGTCCTGAATCTCAATACATCACCCATGAGTTGTTCCACACCAATTCCTCAGATTTATAACAACTAGTAATTCATATTTTTCTACCCCAGACTTGAGACTTGTCATGTCAAGTCTTCTCTAGGTCAAAGATGTTCCTACTTTGTATTTTACCTGAAGTTAATTGCCATCATCACATCCTAAATCTCAAAATTTCAGTATCTGACTAGAGTCAGTCAGCTGAGGAGCGCCTTTTCTTCCTGTAGAGGTTTTAGGCCCAGATTTATGAAAGTATTTAGCTGTCTAAATCTTGTTTAAAAGCCTTTTTTCCCTTTAAAAAAAGAAAGGAAAGGAAGTTGCATGTGGAATATGTAATAGGAATTACACTTCTAAACATCTTCATGGATCTGGGCTTTGGAGACTACCCTGGTACAACTCAGTCTAAATAAATAGGTAATGAATACTAGTGATAGTATGGTTTAAAAATCTAAGGAGTTTGGTAAGAAACAAAAGGAAAGGAGACCAGAAGCCACTTCTGCTGAATATTGAAAAAACACTTACAATACAGTTACAAAAGAAAATTTTATGACTATGTATAACATGTCTTCTTCATCCATCATAATAATTTATACCTTATGATGTTTCATTTTATGCAGCTTTTCTTAGTAGCTGCTCCCTCTACAAGACACACTGAAATACATGAAAGGTCTTCAGGTGCAGTGGTCTGTCAGGAACAGCAGAAATCCTGTATCTCTGCATTCCCTTAACCTCAGCCATATTGCATGCTTAGATCATCCTAGAGACATGTACAGCAATCTGGTCAATTCTGGTTTGTCTAATTTAAGAGGAGTAGGTACTAGGATGATTGTATATATTTATAGAGCAATTAATGGATACAAATGAATGGTCTTCACACAGTCCCTGTCTAAGGGTCTAGCTTTATTAGCCTGGTTGAAGATTATTTCTCATTTCCTCGTGATTATTGCTTCCTAGCTCCTTTATAAAACTGAACCAATATGAGCGGTAATCACTGTTTCTCTTGTTAACTGCCCTTCATTTGCAGACAGAAACAATATGATTCTCCATTTTTTTTAATCTTTCATGCAAAAGGGAGTCAAACTGTAAAATGATGTGCTCATTTCATTCCTTATGTACCCTGCTTAATTTGTCAGTACTGTCCATTTTCTGCATGTGAGGAAAGTCACCTGCAGACCAGCGCAGCAAAAGGGTTTGGAGCACTACCGAGGGTCACTTACTCCATAAAAATTCATGGCCATCCCCATGCTTTCTCAGTGGAAAGACCAGTGGTCAAAAGATGTACTTTTATAGCTTCTCTGTCATGGATTTACTCCTGTTCCATCATAGTAACCTTTTGCTAAATGGATAGGATGTACCTCCCGAGATCTGCTTCCTTACACAGAACATGCAGGAGTGTATCATCTTTATTAGGGGGAAAAAAAAAAAAAAAAAGGGACTATTTCAGGTGGTCTGTTAGCTATGGCCTTGAACAGCTCATAAGAGACGGTTGAGCACACCGTGAGAATTTGTGATGGGTGCAATCCATCTTCTCTTGTAGTTACATACAAACTCCATTAATAAGGACGTGGATCCTTACCCCTTGTAATATGATTGAAACCTTATTTTATAGGGAGAACTCCTTCCTAGAGAAATCAAATTCCCACTTCAGATTAAATATGATAGAAGGTTTTTATACATTAGTGGTCAGAAGGATTCATTTCTGTGGATACAGAATGCCAAAAATTGGAGCAATTGCTCCTGCTGCTTTCCTTTCAAAATTTGAGGTTGCAGTCATATCCATAGTATATAGGCAACTTAACTAGGCAAAACAGAAATTACAGTACTGTATAATTTGTAGATGTGCTAATAGTGCCAAGATGAACTAGGTTTGACTTGTTTTATGATGTTCACTTGCTTGAAGTTACCATATCGGCAGCGTAATGTTGATGTTTCCAGATTTATCTCTTGCTTTTCATTGCGGAGTTGTGCAAATGTGTGTCATTCCATTATTTTGTGACACATGAAAATGATGTACTTGTTTTGTTTATTCTGTCCTGATTTAATTAGTAGGATGTGATAGTTTGCCAGACTTTTGAACGTCTTTGATAAGAATTTTTTCATGTGTTCTTGATGCTTAACTTCTTTTTGCTTTAAAAGTCTTAACTTCTAGCCATATTCTGTGTGAAATGCTGGTGACAATTCCTTGCCGGCTTCCACACGTATTTTAAACAGTATGACATGCATGGAAAATACAGAGATAAGTGCAGGTAAAGAAAGAAGTAGCATAATCCAAACTGAAATAATCATATAGGTGAGTGTAAAATAGTTTGAGAGAGAGCAAGCAGGGGAGGAAGGAGAATCAGGAAGGAGAAATCTGATCCCCAAAAGACAGAGTGGGCAAGAGAGGGGAAGTCAGAGACAGATCAGACCGGACAGGGTAGGGGAGAAGTGGGGCAAGAGGGCTTGGGAAGAGGAGAAGGATCCATCCATGGGTCTTTTTCAGTTAGAGTGAGCTGACGCTGGTTTGGCAGCGACCCTGGTGTCGAGGACATGGGCAGTGTGGGCACATGTGAACCAAAAGTAAGAGAGATCACAGTTAAAAAAATAAATAACCTCAAATAATGATTTTTTTTTTGCATGGGCCTGCAAGGTGGAAGGAGCCCCCAAAGGCCCAGAGCTCAGTCGAGGTCCAGTAAAGCCGTGTCTGAAAATACACAACGGCAGGTGAGACCCAGACCAGCACTGCCCTGCTGGGGGTGTTCCTGTACCGATGCCTGCGTTGGCTCTTTTTGGAAGAGAGAAGAGTGTCCTGCGACGTGATTTGGCAGCAAACTGCCATCCTACCCATGTTCTCTGAGGGCTTTGAGGAAAGAGGGGAGATGACAGCTCAGGAAGGCGATCACCGATATCAGTGAGACTGATGGATGTGGAAGGGCAATGTTAGTAACTCTGCAACGAGACATCAAGAGAGGGTGATCAAAGTAAATACTTGTGAAGAGATTAAAGAATGCCTCATACGTTTGAAGAATGTATAAGTCTTCAGATCAAAGCAAAGTCCCAGTTATTTAGCCGTTTAGGAAAGTTAGTTAGCGATTATATGTGCTGGATAATGGAAGACTTATTAACTGTGTAGAAAAGCTTGTAAAACACGCAGTGGAATTTGTGAATGGCATTTTTGTGCATCTCATGATTTTTTTTCAAGTGCTCTCATCCTCATATATATATTGTAAACAGTTATTTTTAAGGAACATTTCCGGTGCTTAATGATTTTATTCTCAAAGCAAATAGATTTAATTAAAGTCTCATTAAACACTACAGTAGATGACTTTGGATTATAAGTTAAATCATGAAGAATGTTGTAGGAGTTGTATTCACTTATTTTAGTAACATGGCTCTAAGTGTAGAAAATAAATTATTGTTAATTGGGCACAATGGAGGGCTATGTTATAGCGAATTTGCCTGCAACTTCTCTTACATCTCTAACTGTGATTTTCAGACAGGAGACTGGGGAGAGCCTTCAATTACATTGCGACCTCCAAATGAAGCCACAGCATCAACGCCTGTGCAATACTGGCAGCATCATCCAGAGAAACTCATCTTCCAGTCATGTGATTATAAAGCATTTGTAAGTGTTGATAAATTATTGGTTTGATTTGGGGTAGATATATTAGTTTTAGATTTTGATAGACTGTTGGGTTTTTTTTAATTTATAATATTTTTTCAGTCACTTTTAATGAGACATGCCACTTCCTCTGAAATACTGTAATTGTAATAAATGAGAAACAAGGATGCACAGTACTTTTTGCTATGAATTTTGTGATATATTGCAGTCCATGTAGCAACAGTGTTAGAGAAATGACATTATGAATAAGTGGCTAAGTGCTGTAGAAGTGACAGTGAGAGCAAACAGCCCTACTTCTCATCTGTCACAAATCCCTGTCTAGTACTTATGGAAAAATAATAAAACATAATATGGGATCCTCATGCCTACCTTAATGCTGTGTGCACAGTAGTTAAAGTAAGTATTGCCTTGCCTGAATTTTGTACAGCTGGTTTGGGGGAAGGGAGCTGAGGAAGATGGAGATCAGGGTCCCGAAGCAGTGTTTTCCATCCATGGGACAAGGGCACATTCAGACCTCTCCCAAACTGATGACTGCTCGAAGTACCAGTAGCAGTCAGTTCCTTCAGGGCAGAGAGTGTTTATTTTTACCTCCCGATAGCTGTAACTGATTCCTACTTTCCATCCCTGGAGAAACGGAGCTTCCCTCTACAGCTAAAGACAATTAGTGTTCTTTGGCTGTAATAAATGCTTGTGAAGGAGATGAAGGTCTCCTGAAGTACAGAAAGTCATATTGGAAGACTTTGGGTTTTAAATGAAAAATACTTTTCTGAAGCCTTAAGTTCCCCATCAACAGGTCGGGGTGGCTGGTGCTTCTGGGGAGCTGAAGGGGTGCCTCAGCCCACCTGTTTAAACTCCGACATCTCCCCTTCCGACTTTGCTGGAAAACACTGTTAAAGTTGCTGAAGGTGCTTCCCAGACCACCGTGTCCTCTTCGGAGGTGGCCATCGAATGAAACAAGGCTGACTTATTTTACAAAGGAAAGGGTCTCAGTAGTTGTGGTGCCTTTAGCATGATAGCTGGGGGTTAACCGCTTGTCCAGGGCATGGGGTTTAGATCCTCTTCACCTGAAGGAGCTTGACTCCTCAGTCCTTTTTAGGATAATGCTCTGTTCGCCAAACACTGGAGCATTTTGGGGGAGAGTTGGGGGCTGCTGGATCTGATTTAAAGCATATCTGGAAAGGTAGGAATTAGAGACCAAGCACAGGTGAGACAAGAGTGTGGCTCCCACTGAGGAAGGGCAGAAGGGGTGTCACAGGCCTTGAGCATGTCTGTACCTTCCATCAGACCTTCGTGGGGTAGAAACTGCCATGAATGCAGTGATTGTCCTTGGACAGGAACTCAAACCTCTGCCTTCCTCAGCAAGTCACAGTCAAGGTCCAGCTCTCCTGCTCTCGGTCTTGCTTCTTTCCTATGCAGTGCCTCAAATCAAAAAGGAAGCTCAGTGACTTCTACTTCTTTAAATATTTTTCGTAGTTTTCAGTGAAGTGAACAGGTTTATCTCAAGACTGCCTCTTATCTCATTACTTGATCCAGCAGTAAATTGGTAATCAGATGTAATCTTTGTAGTAGATTGGAAGGCATGTGGATCATTAAAGGAATGAACTTGGGATGACTAGGAATATCCAAGTTCCTGGTGATTAAGGAATCACCAAATCACAGTATCCAAGTTATTGTTGATTAATTAAGGATTGTGCATCACTGCACTGTCTTGGCTCCCTGAGCTGTAATGACCTCAGCCTTATGGAGTAAAACCCTGGCTTGGAAGTTATAACAAGCCCTGGCTTGGAAGTTATAACAAGGGCAGCTTTCATTGTATGTCACATCACTCAGTTGAACTGTTGGATGTCCTCTGTGTTGCTCCTGCATGTTCTGGGTGTTTGAGAAGGAACATTTCCAAAAGTACAGCAAGTCAAAGGAAAGCAAAACCCTCCTAGAATTTCAGATTTTTCTGACAACTAAATTGGACAGTACTTCTGTGATTTGTTTGTCTATTCCACAGTCCACCATGGGAAGCATTTCTGAATGCCTGCAGCTGAGGCTTTTTGCTGTTGTGCAGATGGGACAGGAGCTGCCTGTCTCTTCTCTTTCTTACTCTTGTTCTGCCGTGAGCTCAAAAGCACTGCTTTTTTTTTCCCTGGTGCCTGAC